TGGACAACCTTCCCTCTCTCTTTCTCTCCTTCTTTCCCCCATTCCTTCACTCCCTCCTTCCTTCCTTCCTTCCTTCCTTCCTTCCTTCCTTCCTTCCTTCCTTCCTTCCTTCCTTCCTTCCTTCCCCTTTCTTCTTTCCTCCTCTCCTTCCCTCCTTCTCTACCTCTTTTTCCCTTTCTTCCCTTTCTCTCATTTCTTCCTTCTCGTCCTCTTTCCTTCCTTCCTTTGCTTTTTGCTTCCATCCTTCCTTCTGTCTTTCCTTCCCTCCCTTTTTCTCTCCTTCCTTCACTTCCTCTTTCCTTTTTTTCCTTCTCTTTTTCCTTCTCTGTCTCTTTCTTTCCTTTCCCCTTTTTCTTTTCCTCTTTCTCTTTCCTTCTCTTCTCTCCTTCCTTCTTTCTCTACCTCTTCCCTTCCTTCCTCCTTTTTCTTTTCCTCCCTCTTTCTCTCCTTTCTTCCTTCTCTACCTCTTTTTTCTTCCTTCTCCCTTTCCTTCCTTCCTTTTTCTTTCCTTCGCTCCTTCCTTCTTCTCTACTTTTCTTTCCTTCCCTTTTTCTTTTCCTCTTTCTCTTCCTTCTCTACCTCTTTCCTTCCTTCCTTGATTTTTGTCTTTCTTTCCTTCCCTCCCTCTTTCTCTTTCTTTCTCTTCTTCCTTGGCTCCCTCTTTCCTTCCTTTTCTTTTTTTCTTTCCTTCTCTCCTTCCTTCTTTCTCTGCACATTTCTTTCCATCCCTCTTCTTTTCCTCATTCTCTCCTTTCTTCCTTCTCTACCTCTTTCCTTCCTTCCTTCCTTCCTTCCTTCCTTCCTTCCTTCCTTCCTTCCTTCCTTCTCTTTCTTTCTTTCCTTCTTTCTTTCTCCCCTTCCTTCCCCTTTTTCCTCTGTATCGTCATTTATCTTTTCGGGATTTTTAAATACTTTCCACTGCTTTTTGGGGGGGTATTATGAGTGATGGTCACTCATTGGTCTGTTAGGAGTGTAGTGTCCAAATTTGGTGTCATTTCGTCCAGTGGTTTTTGAGTTATGTTAATCTCAGAAACGAACATTACATTTTTATTTATATAGATAGACTAGCCGTCCCCCGCCATGCATTGCTGTGGCCCTGTCTGTGTATATGTGTTTTGTGTGTGTATATGTGTGTGTATTAGGCCTGGGCGGTTTCGTTCGTTAATTTTGTAATTCGTTAAATATTCGTTATTTTTAACAATTACAAAATGATTACAAAACATATTTTCAAACCCGGAAGGGTTTTTCAATATCAAAACGGCATCCTCCATCCTTTTTACGAGCTTCCGCCCGTTTCGGAAATGACGTTTAAGGGATGGAGGATGCTGGGTGCGCTGGGAGCCAATCCGGCGCTCCCAAGCACCGTGGCTGATTGTGATTGGGCGGGCTGCCCTTTAAAAGCGGCTCCGCGTGGCCGCATTGCTCATTGCTGGGGAAGGCGAGGAGACGGGAGGTTCGGGAGGGAGGCTTGGCTTGCATTCATTCATTGCTTGCATTCATTCATTCCCTGGGCTGGGAGCAGCGGGGAGGCTTTGCCGTTCACTCCACAACAGGGCAAGCATTTTTAAATATTTCTGAAAAATATCTTTCTTTTATTCTTAAAAAAATTCAAAAATATTCTAAAAAAAGAAAAGACCCTTGTGTGCCTGTGTGTGTGAGTTTGTCCCTGTCCTGTGGCTGTGTTCGCTCCACAACAGGGCAAGCATTGTTAATTTTCCATTTTTAAATATTTCTGATAAATATTTCTTTTTTAACGAATCGATTCGTTGCCACCTTAACGAATCGACCCCCGTCTTCATAACGAAGTTTCAGAGGTGATTTGCGCATGCGCGGGGGGTCCGCCATCTTAACGAATCGATTCGTTAATATTAACGAAATTTCGTAAATACTGAACTTTTTTAAAGGAAAGTTTTGTAATTATTTTAAATATCGAAACGCAAAAACCCCCCAAATACAAATCGATTTTAGAAACAAATTTTTGCGTTGTTACCCAGGCCTAGTGTGTATATATATTTGTGTATATGTGTGTTTGCATATGTGTGTGTGTGTGTGTGGTTTTGCACATGCGTTGTAATTTTTTTTGGCTTTTAAAGTCTTTTCTGCTGTGTTTTTCAGTGTTTTTATGAGTGATGGTCACTCCTTGGACTGAGAGGTGTATTGTGTCCAAATTTGGTGTCAACTCGCCCAGTGGTTTTTGAGTTATGTTAATCCCACAAATGAACATTACAGTTTTATTTATATAGATAGACTAGTGGTCCCCTGCCAGGCGTTGCTGTGGCCCAGTCTGGTGATCTGGAAAATAAAGTAACGAGAAAGTGTTGGTTTCTAATATATATAATGTCTGTATTCTTGTGGGTAAACAGTATTTCTTGCTGTTTCTTTGTCAGTGTTGATGTGGAGATTGTCTGGTTTGCCTACTCTGGAACATGCAACACAGAATTGTCCTTCTTTAGGAGTCCATTTCAAATATATGATACTGTATCTCTGTGTATGAATCATATCTATCTATCTATATCTATGGCTGGATGGCTCTTTGTCAGGAGGGCTCTGATGACATTTTCTTGCCCTGGTGAAGGGAGTTGGACTGGATGGTTTTAAGTATTTTCTGTTGGTCATGGGGGTTCTGAGTGGGAAGTTTGCCCCAGTTCTGTCAGTGGGTTTCAGAATGCTCCTTTGATAGTAGGTGAACTATAAATCCCAGTAACTACAACTCCCAAATGTCAAGGTCTATTTCCCCAAACTCCATCCAGTGTTCACATTTGGGCATATTGAGTTTGTGCCAAGTTTGGTCCAGATCCATCATTATTCGAGTCCACAGTGCTCTTTCAATGTAGGTGAACTACAATTCCAAAATTTAAGGTCAACGCCCACCAAACCCTTCCAGTATTTTCTGTTGGTCATGGGGGTTATGTGTGGGAGGTTTGGCCCAATTCTATCGTTGGTGGGGTTCAGAATGCTCTTTGATTGTAGGTGAACTATAAATCCCAACTACAACTCCCAAATTACAAAATCATAATTCCCCAAACTCCACCAGTATTCACATTTGGGAATATTGAGTATTCATGCCAAGTTTGGTCCAGATCCATCATTGTTTGAGTCCACAGTGATCTCTGGATGTAGGTGAACTACAACTCCAAAACCAAAGGACACTGCCCACCAAACCCTTCCAGTATTTTCTGTTGGTCATGGGAGAACTGTGTGCCAAGTTTGGTTCAATTCTATGGTTGGTGGGGTTCAGAATGCTCTTTGGTTGTAGGTGAACTATAAATCCCAGCAACTACAACTCCCAAGCGACAAAATCAATTTTTGAGTGATGGTCACTCCTTGGGTTAGTAGGTGTCTTGTGTCCAAATTTGGCAGCAATTCGTCCAGTGGTTTTTGAGTTATGTTAATCCCACAAACAAGCATAACATTTTTATTTATATAGATAGAAGATAGATTATTATATTAATTGTTCAATAGCAATGTAGTGCTATTGCAATGGAGCGTTTTCTCGATCTGGTCTATTGCCTCCAGACAGAGTGTTTCTCAAGGTTCCTAATGCCGCGACCCCTTAGTACAGTTCCTCATGTTGTGGTGACCCCCAACTATAACATTTTCATTGCTACTTCATAACTGTAATTTTGCTACTGTTGTGAATCGTAATGTAAATATCTTTTATGCAGGATGTATTTTCAAATCCCAAATACCCAATATGCCCAAATTTGAATACTGGTGGGATTGGGGGGATTGATTTTGTCATTTGGGAGCTGTAGTGGCTGGGATTTATAGTTCACCTACAATCAAAGAGCATTCTGAACACCACCAATGATGAAATTGAACCAAACTTGGCACACAGAACTCCCATGACCAAGAGAAAATACTGGGAGGATCTGGTGGACATTGACCTTGAGTTTTGGAGTTGTAGTTCACCTACATCCAGAGATCACTGTGGACTCAAACAATGATGGATCTGGACCAAACTCTACACGAATACTCAATATGCCCAAATGTGAACTGGTGGAGTTTGGGGAAAATAGAATCTTGACATTTGGGAGTTGTAGTTGCTGGGATTTATAGTTCACCTACAATCAAAGAGCATTCTGAACCCACCAATGATGGAATTGAACCAAACTTGGCACACAGTTCTCCCATGACCAACAGAAAATACTGGAAGGGTTTGGTGGGCAGTGTCCTTTGGTTTTTGAGTTGTAGTTCACCTACATCCAGAGATCACTGTGGACTCAAACAATGATGGATCTGGACCAAACTCTACACGAATACTCAATATGCCCAAATGTGAACACTGGTGAGTTTGGGGAAAATAGAATTTTGACATTTGGGAGTTGTAGTTGCTGGGATTTATAGTTCACCTACAATCACAGAGCATTCTGAATCCCACCAACGATAGAATTGGGCCAAAGCTCCCACACAGGACCCCCATGTGGGCCACAGCAATGCGTGGCAGGGGACGGCTAGTCTATATAAATAAAAATGTCATTTTGTGGGATTAACATAACTCAGAAACCACTGGACAAACTGACATGAAATTTAGACACTATACCCCTAACAGATCAATGAGTGACCCTCACTCATAAACCTGCCTTCCCCGCAAAAAAGGACTTTAAAAAACCCCCCAAAAACTAAATACTGGAGGAGTTTGAGGAAAATAGATCTTAACATTTGAGAGGGATTTATAGTTCACCCACAATGAAATAACATTCTGAACCCCACCAAGGATAGAATTGGACCAAACTTTCCACATGTTTTCTGAGGGTGTTTGGCCACCCCTTTGCACCCCCCTCGCGACCCCCACAGGGTTGAGAAACACTGAGATAGACAGTAAGCTCAACTGACCTTTCCATGTGCTCCCTTCCCTCCCTTCCCCTCCCTTTCTGCAGCCAGGCTTCACCTGAGCTGACCCACCAATCCCTCCTGGGAGCCCGCCTCCCTCCGAGAGCTGTCACTCAACTATCACTCTCCCCCCCCCCACCCGGCCCCCTTTCTCCGCGGTGGGCTACCCGGGTCTTGGCCGGCTTATCCAGGCGCGCCTCCTGTACGAAGGGGTTGAGCACCGTCGGGGAGGCCAGCGACTGCTGCCGGGGCAAAGGCAGGCTCCGCGGGGGCAGAAGAGGAGGAGGAGGAGGAGGAGAAGGAGAAGCCATCGCCGGCCGTTGAGCCCTTGTCGCCCATAGACAGCTGGAGTTGCGCTCCTCCCTGGCCCCCGGGGCGCATGCGCATGGGACAGTCCTCCTCCCTTCCAGGTGGAGGCCGGTCAACGCCTGCCCAGCTCGCTGAACAGAGGCGCTCCTCCAAGAGAGGCTCTCAAACCAAAACACTAGGTCATTTCCTAATTGGCAGTGACATCTCTAGCCAGAAGTTTGATTCGGGGGGGGGGGGGGGCTGAGTCTGAGTGAGAGAGGGTCTACCCTAGCAAAACTTTGTATCGTTGTGGGTTTTTTTTCAGGCTATATGGCCGTTTCTAGAGGCATTTTCTCCTGACGTTTCGCCTGCATCTATGGCAAGCATCCTCAGAGTAGTGAGGTCTGTTGGAACTAGGAAAATGGTTTTATAATCTGTGGAATGACCAGGGTGGGACAAAGGACTCTTTCTGCTGGAGCTAGGTGTGCATGTTTCAACTGACCACCTCATGGGGGGGGGGGGGGGGGGGGGGGGGGGCTTCAGCCCCCCCCCTCCCGAAATTCTCATGGTGGTTCGCGAAAAGGCCTTACTGGTGCATTATTTAAACTGTTATGTTTATTCATATCATGATCTGATCACCATACTCAATATATCCCATATGCATGGGGGTATTGGGGTAACGATACAAAAGGTTTGCTAGGCTAGACCCTCTTTCACTCAGACTCAGCCCCCCCCCGAAACTCAGCCCCCCCTGAACCCCCCCCCTGAAATTTTTTTAGCCCCCCCCCCCCCCCGAAACGAAATCCTGGCTACGGGCCTGAGCGCAGTCTGTTCAGTGCCTTCCAAGTCACCCAGTCTTCTGTGTGCCCAGGGGGGAGTCTCTCATCTGGTATCACCCATGGATTGAGGTGCTGGGTTTTGGGCCTGCCACTTTTGGACTCTCGCTTGCTGAGGTGTTCCAGCGAGTGTCTCTGTAGATCTTAGAAAACTATGTCTAGATTTAAGTCGTTGGCGTGCTGGCTGATACCCAAACAGGGGATGAGCTGGAGATGTCTCTGCCTTGGTCCTTTCACTATTGGCTGCTACTTCCCGGCGGATGTCAGGTGGTGCAATACCGGCTAAGCAGTGTAATTTCTCCAGTGGTGGAGGGCGCAGGCACCCCGTGATAATGCGGCATGTCTCATTAAGAGCCACATCCACTGTTTTGAGCGTGGTGAGATGTGTTCCACACTGGGCATGCGTACTCAGCAGCAGAGTAGCATAGCGCAAGGGCAGATGTCTTCACTGTGTCTGGTTGTGATCCCCAGGTTGTGCCAGTCAGCTTTCATATAATATTGTTTCTAGCACCCACTTTTTGCTTGATGTTCAGGCAGTGCTTCTTGTAGGTCAGAGCATGGTCCACAGTGACTCGCAAGTGTTTGGGTGTGCTGCAATGCTCCAGTGGGATTCCTTCCCAGGTGATCTTCAGAGCTCGGGATGCTTCTCTGTTTTTGAGATGAAAGGCACATGTCTGTGTTTTGGATGGATTGGGGATCAGCTAGTTTTCCTTGTAATAGGCAGTAAGAGCACCTAGAGCTTCGGAGAGCTTCTGTTCAACCATCTCAAAGCTCCCTGCTTGAGCAGTAATGGCACGATCATCAGCATAGATGAAACTCTCTGTCCCTTCTGGCAGTGGCTGGTCATTTGTGTAAATGTTGAACATGGATGGAAGCAAGCACGCTCCCCTGAGGCAGGCTGTTCTTCTGTTTCCGCCATCTGCTTCTCTGGCCTTGGAACTCAACAAAAAAGCTCCAGTTTTGTAGCAGGTTTCCTATGTGGTGACCCCCAACCATATCATTATTTTCGTTGCTACTTCATAACTGTCATTTTGCTCCTGTAATGACTTGTAATGTAAATATCTGGATATGCAGGATGTATTTTCAGTCACTGGACCAAATTTGGCACAAATACCCGATACGCCCAAATTTGAATACTGGGGGTTGAGGGTGATTGATTTTGTCATTTGGTAATGCTGGAGTTGCTGGGATTTATAGTTCACCTAAAATCAAAGAGCCTTCTGAACTCCATGAATGATGGAATTGAATCAAACGTGGCACACAGAATTCCCATGACCAAGAGAAAATACTGGGAAGGTCTGGTGGACATTGACCTTGAATTTTTGGAGTTGTAGTTCACCTACATTCAGAGAACACTGTGGACTCAAGCAATGATGGATCTGGATCAAACTTGGCACAAATACTCAATATGTCCAAATGTGAACACTGGTAGAGTTTGGAGAAAATAGACCTTGCCATTTGGGAGTTGTAGTTGTTGGGATTTATAGTTCACCCACAATGAAATAGCATTCTGAACCCCACCAACGATAGAATTGGACCAAACTTTCCACACAGAACCCCCATGACCAACAGAAAATACTATATTTTCTGATGGCCTTTGGCAACCCCTCTGACACCCCCTCGCGACCCCCACAGGGGTCCCGACCCCCAGGTTGAGAAACACTGGACTATGTCATTTCCTAATTGGCTCAATCATAAGAAAAATAACAATGGGAAAACCAGGCTGTGGCGCAGCTATAAAAAGGTAAAGATGTCTTGTCAAGGCTTTCATGGCACACGAATTTGGGGTGTGTTTTTTTTGGGCTGTATGGCCATGTTCCAGAAGCATTCTCTACTGACTTTTCGCCTGCATCTATGGCAGGCATCCTCAGAGGTTGTGAGGTCATGGAAACTAGTTGGTTCTAGATCTGTGGTTCTCAACCTGGGGTCCCCAGATGTTTTGGCCTACAACTCCCAGAAATCCCAGCCAGTTTACCAGCTGTTGGGATTTCTGGGAGTTGAAGGCCAAAAACATCTGGGGACCCCAGGTTGAGAACCACCAGGGTGGGAGAAAGAATTCTTGTCTATTGGTGTCAGGTGGGAATGTTGCAATTGGCCACCTTAGAATCATGGAATCATAGAATCAAAGAGTTGGAAGAGACCTCATGGGCTATCCAGTCCAACCCCCTGCCAAGAAGCAGGAATATTGCATTCAAATCACCCCTGACAGATGGCCATCCAGCCTCTGTTTAAAAGCTTCCAAAGAAGGAGCCTCCACCACACTCCGGGGCAGAGAGTTCCACTGCTGAACGGCTCTCACAGTCAGGAAATTCTTCCTCATGTTCAGATGGAATCTCCTCTCTTGTAGTTTGATTAGCATTTGATGGCCTAGCAGTTTCCAGGTCTGGCTTCTTACTGCCTGGGGGAATCATAGAATCCTAGAGTTGGAAGAGACCTCATGGGCCATCCAGTCCAACCCCCTGCCAAGAAGCAGGAAAGTTGCATTCAAAGCACCCCTCCTGCCAGATGGCCATCCAGCCTCTGCTTAAAAGCCTCCAAAGAAGGAGCCTCCACCACACTCCGGGGCAGAGAGTTCCACTGCTGAACGGCTCTCACAGGAAGTTCTTCCTAATGTTCAGATGGAATCTCCTCTCTTGTAGTTTGAAGCCATTGTTCCTGCGTCCTAGTCTCCAGGGAAGCAGAAAACAAGCTTGCTCCCTCCTCCCTATGACTTCCTCTCACATATTTATACATGGCTATCATGTCTCCTCTCAGCCTTCTCTTCTTCAGGCTAAACATGCCCAGCTCCTTAAGCCGCTCCTCATAGGGCTTGTTCTCCAGACCCTTGATCCTTTTAGTCACCCTCCTCTGGACACATTCCAGCTTGTCAATATCTCTCTTGAATTGTGGTGCCCAGAATTGGACACAATATTCCAGGTGTGGTCTAACCAAGCAGAATAGAGAGGGGTAGCATTACTTCCCTAGATCTAGACACTATGCTCCTATTGATGCAGGCCAAAATCTCATTGGCTTTTTTTGCCGCCACATCACATTGTTGGCTCATGTTTAACTTGTTGTCCACGAGGACTCCAAGATCTTTTTCACACGTACTGCTCTCGAGCCAGGCATTGTCCCCCATTCTGTATCTTTGCATTTCATTTTTTCTGCCTAAGTGGAGTATCTTGCATTTGTCCCCATTGAACTTCATTTTGTTAGTTTTGGCGAATCATCTCTCTTATCTGTCAAGATCATTTTGAATTCTGCTTCTGTCTTCAATCCTTTGTTGAGAGGTGATGAGCTGATCCTGATTGTTTCCTGGCTGGAGTTCCCCTGTGTTTGAATTTTGTTTTTTATTTACTGTTATAATTTTAGAGGGTTTTTTTAGTACTGGTAGTCAGATTTTGTTCATTTTCATGGTTTCCTCCCTTCTGTTGAAACTGTCCACATGCTTGTGGATCCAGGCAGGAAGAAGCCACACCTAAAAACTGTCAGGCCATCAAATGCTAATCAAGGTGGGCCAGTTGAAACATTCTTACCTACCTCCAACAGGCAAGAGTTCTTTCTCCCACCCTAGGCATTATTCCACAGATATATACACCCAATTTTCCAGTTTCCAAAACATCCAGTGGGTCAAAGTTTGCTCATGCCTAGCATATATCGATGAATACAGGATGGATATATAGTAAGAGCATTTTGATTTGGAGGCCACAGAAGAAATGAGTAGGACATTGACGGCATGCAGATAGTCTCGTCCTCTTATCAGATTTCAGTTTCACCCTTTTTTGTTTGTCTTCCTTTGGGGCTTCCTCTCTTTTTATATAAAGACCAGCCATCCCCTGCCATGTGTTGTTGTGGCCCAGTCTGTGTATATGTGTTTTGTGTGTGTATATATGGGTGTGTATATATATTTGTGTGTATGTGTATATATGAGTATATATACCCTGAGCTCTGCGAGTGCAGCATTTTCCCGAATGAAGCAGAGAGTGTTTGATACCATCCGTATCCGTAGGGATACCAAGGTGCTTGTCTATAAAGCTATTGTCCTCCCAACCCTGCTATATGCCTGTGAGACGTGGACTGTCTACAGATGTCACATGCAACTCCTGGAACGATTCTATCAGCGCTGCCTCCGGAAAATCCTGCAAATCTCTTGGGAAGACAAGCGGACAAACGTCAGCGTGCTGGAAGAAGCAAAGACCACCAGCATTGAAGCGATGGTCCTCCGCCATCAACTCCGCTGGGCCGGCCACATTGTCGGATGCCTGACCACCGTCTCCCAAAGCAGTT